CGCGTCTAGATTGGCCACGGACGCTTTTCCGCAAAAAGTGCTTTTGCGGAAAAGCATCCTGCCAATCTAGACACACTTTTCTGAAAATGCTTTTAACGGAAAACTTTTCCGTTAAAAGCATTTCCGGAAAATCATGCCAGTGTAGACGTAGCAATATATTTAAAAACCAGAACTACTAGAAGGCAAAAGTGGAAGACTAGCCATATGAAAGGGCTAGTCTTGTATGATAAGTTATTGTGCTTTTGGAATTTGTATGATGTTACCTAAAGCATTTCTTTCCACCATTACAAGCTGTGAACTACTAAATCAAGAACATCGATGGATGCTGTTGTAGGAAGGAGACCATCTGGGAATAGGAGGAGTCCAGCTAACCAAGAAGGCAAGGAGCATCTTCAAGCACTGGTTCACCAATTTATTGAGGAGGGCTTTGAACTAAGTTCAAAGGTGACTGAGGAGGGACATGGAAAACTATAGCAGAGTCATAGGAGCTGCAAAAATGAAATTGGGGTAGAATCTTCTTAACATCTTAGACATGGGTACACCAGCGGGGATGACAGAACTGACAAAATTCTGGGCAAGGTGTGGGGCGAGGCCATAGTTAGAAGGGGCGGAGATGGAGCAGCCATCTTAACTGTGTGGCCAGTGCTCCAGCAAGGATTTAAATGGCCCGGGGTAGCTGGCATGGTAGTAGCAGCAGCAGCCAGAAGCTGTGCCTTTTTGAATCGCCGGGCCCCAGGGAAGTTATCCCCTCCCCCCATAAGTGGTCCGCTCTACACAAATGCAAGACCAATTGGAAATAAACAGGAAGAACTGGAAGTATTAATACATAAACTAAATTGTTACTTAACTGACATTACAAAGACTTGATGGGATATAGCTGCAGGCTAAGTGAGCAGCTTACAATTTTTTGTGCACAGCTTAAAGGGAGCCCTGATAATCGTATGACCACACACCTTCTGGGTGTGGTGTACTGTCCCGTCATGGGGCACTGAGACCACTTAGAGAAAGAGAATAATGAGTTGGCTCTACAGCATGAGCTAAAAGCCAGCTGGCTATCAGCTAATGTGGTAGAGGTTCACACTCCATGTTCCAGAGGTCACAAATGCGATGGGTTAGAACAACTTTAAAGACTAACAAGATGGTTGTGCCGATTTTCTTCCACATATTGATCTGAGGAAGTGGGTCTGGCCCACAAAAGCTCATCGCCTAATAAACCATCTTGTTAGTCTTTAAAGTGCTACAAAAAGTAGAAACATGGATGAATTGCTAAGGAGGAGTATAAAAGAATAACATAAGTATGTAAAGACAAAATCTTAGAGGCTAAGGCACAAAATGTACAGAACCTAAAAGGCTATAAGAAGAGAAAGGAGAATGTGGATTATCTATTTAGCAATGAAGGAGAGCCAATAACTTATGACATCAAGAAAGCTTAGCTGTTTCATTCCAATTTTGCTTCAGTCTTCACTAGAAAGATGTATTTAAGTTGGAAGGGCCATTTAAAATTCATATTAGGAACTAGCTATTGCAATCTTGGAACCATTAGCAATTATCTTTGAGAACTTCCAGAAGATGGGTGAGCTCCCAGATGAATGGAGAAGGGCAAAACACAAAACTGTATTTTTACAAAGAAATAACAAAACATACCCGGGGACTTATAGACTAGCCAGCCCATCTTCAATACTCCCAAAAGGGACAAACAAAAAAATTTGTCAATCACCTAGAGAATAACAGAGTTTTCAGAAAGAGCCAGCGTGAATTTGTTAAGAAAAATTCTTTAAAAGGTCCACTGACCTGGTAGATGAGGGGTGGGAAGCAGCAAATATGATCTTGATCCTAGTAAGGCTTTGACACAGTCCCATGGCAATTCTCATCAGCAAAATAGGGAAATGTGGTCTAGATGAAATTACAATGAGATTGATATACAACTGGTTGAAAGACTGTAATTAAAGTAGTTACCAGTGATTTGATGTCAAACTGGGAAGATGTATCTAAGGGTGTTCCACAAGTGTCAGTCTTGAGTCCAATACAAATTAATGAAAGTACTGAAATCACAGATTCTGGAGTGGAAAGTATGCTTATAAAATTTGTAAAGGAGAACAAGCTGTGAGGTGTTAAAAGCATGTTAGACAAGATTAGAATTCAAAATTACCAAAAGTCTTTTTCCGAAAAACTTTTGCGCAAAAGGGCCAGTATAGACAGCAGAGATTTGTTTTCCGCAAAAAAGCCCCGATCGCGAAAATGGCGATCAGGGCTTTTTTGGGGAAAAACGCGTCTAGATTGGCCACGGACGCTTTTCCGCAAAAAGTGCTTTTGCGGAAAAGCATCCTGCCAATCTAGACACACTTTTCTGAAAATGCTTTTAACGGAAAACTTTTCCGTTAAAAGCATTTCCGGAAAATCATGCCAGTGTAGACGTAGCAATATATTTAAAAACCAGAACTACTAGAAGGCAAAAGTGGAAGACTAGCCATATGAAAGGGCTAGTCTTGTATGATAAGTTATTGTGCTTTTGGAATTTGTATGATGTTACCTAAAGCATTTCTTTCCACCATTACAAGCTGTGAACTACTAAATCAAGAACATCGATGGATGCTGTTGTAGGAAGGAGACCATCTGGGAATAGGAGGAGTCCAGCTAACCAAGAAGGCAAGGAGCATCTTCATGCACTGGTTCACCAATTTATTGAGGAGGGCTTTGAACTAAGTTCAAAGGTGACTGAGGAGGGACATGGAAAACTATAGCAGAGTCATAGGAGCTGCAAAAATGAAATTGGGGTAGAATCCTCTTAACATCTTAGACATGGGTACACCAGCGGGGATGACAGAACTGACAAAATTCTGGGCAAGGTGTGGGGCGAGGCCATAGTTAGAAGGGGCGGAGATGGAGCAGCCATCTTAACTGTGTGGCCAATCTTGTTAGCAGCAGCAGCCAGAAGCTGTGCCTTTTTGAATCGCCGGGCCCCAGGGAAGTTATCCCCTCCCCCCATAAGTGGTCCGCTCTACACAAATGCAAGACCAATTGGAAATAAACAGGAAGAACTGGAAGTATTAATACATAAACTAAATTGTTACTTAACTGACATTACAAAGACTTGATGGGATATAGCTCATGACTGGAATAATAGTATGGGGGTATAGCTTGTACCAGCCAAACAGGTAAGGAAAAAAGGAGAAGGTGCATTATAAATAAAAAATATGTATATTTGTTCTGAGGTCCAGAAGCAGGTGAGAGCAGATGGAAAGCTAGGAAGAATACCATCAGGAACTCTTTAAAGATCTGAAAATCAAAAAGAAATACTACAAAAAGTAGAATAGTGATAGAGATGCAGCCGTGTTAGTCTGGTGTAGCTGAAACAAAAGACAGAACTATGTAGCACTTTAAAGACTAACAAGATGGTTGTGCCGATTTTCTTCCACATATTGATCTGAGGAAGTGGGTCTGGCCCACAAAAGCTCATCGCCTAATAAACCATCTTGTTAGTCTTTAAAGTGCTACAAAAAGTAGAAACATGGATGAATTGCTAAGGAGGAGTATAAAAGAATAACATAAGTATGTAAAGACAAAATCTTAGAGGCTAAGGCACAAAATGTACAGAACCTAAAAGGCTATAAGAAGAGAAAGGAGAATGTGGATTATCTATTTAGCAATGAAGGAGAGCCAATAACTTATGACATCAAGAAAGCTTAGCTGTTTCATTCCAATTTTGCTTCAGTCTTCACTAGAAAGATGTATTTAAGTTGGAAGGGCCATTTAAAATTCATATTAGGAACTAGCTATTGCAATCTTGGAACCATTAGCAATTATCTTTGAGAAATTCCAGAAGATGGGTGAGCTCCCAGACGAACCATTAGCAATTATCTTTGAGAACTTCCAGAAGATGGGTGAGCTCCCAGATGAATGGAGAAGGGCAAAACACAAAACTGTATTTTTACAAAGAAATAACAAAACATACCCGGGGACTTATAGACTAGCCAGCCCATCTTCAATACTCCCAAAAGGGACAAAGAAAAAAATTTGTCAATCACCTAGAGAATAACAGAGTTTTCAGAAAGAGCCAGCGTGAATTTGTTAAGAAAAATTCTTTAAAAGGTCCACTGACCTGGTAGATGAGGGGTGGGAAGCAGCAAATATGATCTTGATCCTAGTAAGGCTTTGACACAGTCCCATGGCAATTCTCATCAGCAAAATAGGGAAATGTGGTCTAGATGAAATTACAATGAGATTGATATACAACTGGTTGAAAGACTGTAATTAAAGTAGTTACCAGTGATTTGATGTCAAACTGGGAAGATGTATCTAAGGGTGTTCCACAAGTGTCAGTCTTGAGTCCAATACAAATTAATGAAAGTACTGAAATCACAGATTCTGGAGTGGAAAGTATGCTTATAAAATTTGTAAAGGAGAACAAGCTGTGAGGTGTTAAAAGCATGTTAGACAAGATTAGAATTCAAAATTACCTTGATAAATTAGATAATTGGTTTGAAGTCTAAAAGAGGACATTCAGTACGGTCAAGTGAAAAATAATTCATTTAAGAAGGAAAAATTCACAGCTACAATGGGAAATAACTGTCTAGGTTGGAGTAAGGCTCTTGGAGTTATAGTGGATCACAAATGAAATAAGGATCAATAATGTGATGGAGTTATGAAAAACACTAATATTCTGGGGTGTATTAATAGGATTGTCATATGTAAGACACAAGAGATAATTATCGCACTTCACTTCACACTTGTGACGCCTCCCCTGAGGTATTGTGTTCAGTTCTGGGTGCTATGTTCAATTCTGGGTGATGTGGACAATTAAGGTATCTCTACTCTGTGCGACTATTTTGGGATACCTCTGGTCTACCCCACGTCTTAAAAAGCTGCCAGTTATTTCAAATAGTTTTCGAAATAAGGGGCAAGCTATTTTGTCGTCCTGGTAACCCTCATTCCATGAGGATTAAGGGATGTCTCGAAATAGTGCATTATTTCGAAATTTGGTGCTATGTAGACTTGCCAAATTTCAAAATAGTCTATTTGAAATTAAATAAGATACACAATTTGCACAGTGCAAATTGTGTATCTTATTTCGAGTTTAGGATGCTGTTTAGATGCACCCTTAGAAAAAGTCCACAGGACAAGAGAGGAACAAAAATGATTAAAGGTTTAGACAATCTAGCCTATGGGAAAGATTTAAAAAAAAATAAAAACCAAGCCATATTTAGTCTTGAGAAAAGAAGACTCGGAAGGGACCTTCAAATATGTTAAGGGCTGTTATAAAAAGGAAAGTGATCAATTGTTCTCATTTGATGAAGGTTAGACAAGAGGTAAGTGTCTTAATCTGTGACAACAATTGAGATTTAGGGTAACAGGAAAAACTGTCTAGCTATAGGTTTAAGCTCAGGAAAGGCTTCCAAAAGAGGTTGTGGATTCTCCATCACTTGGAGGTTGGTCAAACTTTTGCTATGGTTTGGTCTAGGTTTACTTGGTCTTCTCTCAGTGCAGGGGACTGGGCTTGATGCCCTCTCAAGGTGCCAGCCCAACTCTTCTATGAGTCAATGAAAAATATCAGGATTTAGATCAAAAGGAAGATGTCGCATTTATCCAATGCGCTTCATTTCTCATAAAAGACCTGCCTTAATATTTTTTTTAAATAAGAGCTTTGAAGATTGTTAGCTAGAAGTATATTATGCTCATTAGCAATGACAGACTCAGGTAGAAATAAAATCAAAGGATTCAGATATTACTAGCTGTGAGGCAATGTCTATGTGTACTATTTTTATATGTGTTGGTGTCAAACCAGATTCATAGTTAAGTAGGTAAAAAACAAACAAGGTTTTTAAAACTTCCATCCAGTGGCAATAACCTTCATTTGATCAAAGAAACTGCTGCAGTTTCACTTACACTATAGAGATCGCAAAGTTTGATAATACATATTTTAAACATTTAGCTGCTGAATAATAAACCCATTTAAAATCAAGTTTTTTATTGTTCAAATTTCTAAAGTGTGACAGATTCTATCAAAGGAAAAAAGGGATTGTTACATTTTATTGGTTTAAGATTTGATGCAGGGAAAATTACTGTACAACAATAGTAATTATTTGACAAGGAATAAGAAGGAAATAGAGTAGCTATAGAAAACACTTGTATTTCTCCCAGAATCTTAAAAAGTCAGTTTTCCAACATCTCAGCTTCCTTTGTACAAATACAAATACACACTTTATAACCTTAACTACTATATTTTTATGTTCATGTGACTAGTCTTTCTTAGGAATCATGATGTTGCTCTTTTTTCATGAATGCATGTCCTTGGAATGTGAGCTGAAGATTCTGAAAGAGGCATGACACTCTGACACCCAGCTAGTTGTTTCAAGGCTGTGATATATTAGCTATGAAATTTAAAATAACACTGATCTAAAAGAAAAGACCACCTGCTCGCTCACTCACGCTCCCTCCCTTCCCGCAAATTGGGATTTTTATTTATTTATTGGTCCTTGACACATCATTGTTGTCCCAGCATAGATAGGGCATCGCTGTCTTTTTATTCATATTCTTTACAGATTATCCTCGGTACACAACGAAATTCATTGCAGCAGCTCTAGAGCCTTCAAAAACATCTGTGACAAGAAAGGGGTAGGAAGGAACCATCGGTCCCTACTATCCTACGTTCCTATTTTCTGAGATCGGCGAATAGCAACAGTTCTCCCTTCACTTAAAGCTACAGTGGGCGCCACCGAAACTGAATACACGGCTGGAAACGACCGTGCACACACACAGACGGACACGGCTTCCTCATTACAAGCCCCAAGATACAGCACTCAGGCAAAGGCTAGGAAGGCGTCGAGGCGTCAGTTGTTAGGAGCATGCATCGGTGTTGACTGGATTGATTAAACCCTTCTGTTTGGAGTTCTCCCCTGCTCCCCACCTTCGACATCAAGTAAAGCCAGGAGCTTATTAAGAAAGAAGCTGGGCAAAAATAAGAGGAAGGACTGACGGCCAGGGATACAGAC